GGCGCGGCCGACAGGGGCCGACCAAGGGGTTCCCCTTATCTGGATCTCCTCCACCAGCTTTACCCGCGGCCAGGGTCCCGGCAACCACGCCGGCACCGTCAGGAACCCGCAGGAGAGAAGCCCACTGATCAGGGCCGAATGACTGCAGCCAGATCTGGCGTTAGGACCCACTGCCCGTGCACACCGGCAGCCGAACAAGCCGACCCCGACAAAGCCGGCCACAGATCTGGCCACACCCAGATCCGACGCACACGCCGCACCGATGACCACCTCCACTCGCCGGAGTGGAGAACCACCCCGGCCTCACAGCCAAGTGTCGGTGACACCATGGGCCGCCACCACCCACAACAGGACGAATTTGGGCAGGGCGTCCAGATCCGCCGCCACCGCGCGCCATGGCTGACTACCATGCTGCCTTGGCAGCCATGGAGGCACAGCCCCACCGAAAAGCCCTGGAGCCGCCGCTCCAGCTTCCTATCTCCGCTGCCACGCTTGACGCCCAGGGTCGCCATCGCGCGCAGCCCGAGTCCGCCCCCAGGAAGAAGGGCGAGCCTTCCACCGCCGTCCGCCGGACGAGCTTTGCTCGCCGGCTTCCTCCGGCGGCAGCGGGGGAGGGTGGGTCGGGGTGGGTTGGGGGCGGCGGCGGCTAGGGTTCGCCAAAGCCGCCCCCCGGGGGCAGCGCGAGCGCAAGCGTTTTCCCGCAAGAAGAAATGCCGTTCCCTAGCTGACCCATACGAATACAACATTGTCTGACGTGTATTATTTGGCTTGAGAATGTGCACCATGCGGTTTCCTAGCTGTCTCTTATGAATATATTGGTTTGGCGAGCAGTGGCGGAGCTACAGCAGCAAAGCTGGGCGGGCCAGTAGAAAGAAAACCCCAATACTTTTGCACTCATGTCCCAGTCTACACTCAGTCCCCTACTGCATTTGCCATGTGCTGGGCGGGCCACGGACGCTTTTGGTAACACGTAGCTCCGCCAGTGTTGGCGAGTACTATTTGGCTTAAGAATGTAGACTATGCGGTTTCTTATCTGGCTTGTACAAATATATTGATTTTATGTGAACTCTTTGGCTTGAGAATGTGCACCACGTGCTTCTCTAGCTCCCTCAATATTGGTTTGGTGTGCGATATTTGGCTTGAGAATGTGCATTAAGTGGTTCCCTGGGTCCTACGAATATATTGGTTTAGCTTGTACCCTTTGGCTTAGAATTGAGAATGTGTACCATGCGGCTCTAACTGACTCGTACCAATATATTGATATGGCGTATATTATTTGCTTGAGAATGTGCATCACCCAGTTCCCTAGTTGGCCCGTATGGATATTTATTAGCTTATGAGTATTTAACATGAAAATGTGCACCACACAGTTACCTAGTTGGCCCGTACAAATAATTCGGATAGATCCGCCTGTCTAAGAGCATGGTTAATAGTATAGCCAAGTTGCTGGCTATATGATCTTGCCACATCATCTATAGTAAACTTATAGCTGACAAGTACAATATTTGCATATTGAAATGTACTGTACTTTCACTTCATAATTCATAATTCATGTCTAAGCAGCTAGCTAGCTATCGTTTGATTATGAGAAAAATATGTTTTTGGTCCCTCAAGTTCCCTAAAAATATAGACTTGGTCCCTCAAACTGTTTTTATACATTTGATCCTTCAAGTCTCAAAACATGATAATTTTGGTCCAAAACCAAAATTTGAGCATGTTGAGCGGGATTTGGCCGGGTTTGACCGTGTTGACCATGTTTGACCGGTAAATAGTAAATTAAAAAAAATCTGAAATTTCGTGACAACCAACATGCTTGGGTGTGCTAGGTGCGTGTAAATTTTTGTGGTCAAATAACATCCGAGGAGGTCTAGCCAATTTTTTTATTTCACAATCTTTTCGCTATTTTTTGAATTTATCATTCATCGGTCAAACATGGTCGAACCTGGTCAACATGCTTAAAATCTGGTTTTGGACCGATCTTATCCGGTTTTGAGACTTAAAGCACCAAATGTATACCAAAAAATCTTGAGGGACCAAGTCTATACTTTTGGGGAACTTGAGGGACCAAAAACATACTTTTCTCTTTGATTATTGCAATGTACTACTGTAAACAAATATAAGACATTTTAGCTCACTACTTTGTATTACCCTGTGCCAAATTAGTTGTCTTAGATATTTTTTTAGATATGGATGTATCTGACATGAAAACGTCTAGATTTATTTGTATCTAGATAAATCTAAAATAAGTAATTCAGGACAGAGGTAGTATTCGTTTAAAGTGGGAGTACTACTTTCACTTCACAATTCACCATCCACGAACACAAGGTTGTCAATAGCAACTCTTTTTTTTTTTGAACAGGTCAATAGCAACTGAGGTCAACTTATATTCAACTTATATGCTTTTGCAGTTTGAACATGAGGAGACCGTCTTCCTTTCAGTTAAAATAAAGTAAACAATACTATCAGATGAACAAAATTTGCATAAGAACTCATTTTTCATTTTGACCATTCAGAAATTCATCACAGACAGTTGGAAGTTCACAATTCAGTTTCACCCACATGTTCCTTATGGCTCCTTTCATGAACTCTTATGTTGACAAAAATGGAAAATCTTGGTCTTCTAACAGACAATGTGTGCTTATCTATTTTATTTTATGGTACCCCCTTGCAGAGAAAGAGGAATCGATGGCATATGTTCATAAAATTATGGTCTCAGAAAGAAATCAATATCCACGAAAAGTACTACTAGATCGGAAATGGTGGACATGTACCCAGAAAGAAACTCACGAAACAAAGCGAAAACACATTTACACGCTGTCGAACGATAAACCAAAAAATTCACAAAGTCCGAACTTGTTATTTCTAACAAGCATACCATAATCAAACTTCAGCTTTTCTAGGAAAAAAAAACCCAAATTAATTAACAAATATGTTTCTCTAACGTCCAAAGAGAAACCCAAATTGCAGAGGCAAAGAAATCTTGGAGGGGGGAAATGCTGTGGATTTTTTTCCTTTGAAAATGGGAGAATAGCAGAAGAAAAATTAATATACTGCTCAAGGGAGAAATACTGGCTTTAACAGTTAATGGATATCTTACCTGCATAGCTGACTCAATTGCAAGAAAAAAAACACAGCATCATCCTTCCTAGTCATGCAAACCCGCTGATATCAGCTCAAAAGCGCACTCAAAGAACTTACGAATAACTCTGTCTCCCAGATAGATGCCTACCATTTGATGAACATAAGAAATTTCGGCAATTACGGAGTGCTGTATATTTCTGCAGCAACGCAATGCTATTAATCTGTAATACAAAAACTGAGGCGGTTATGAGCAAAGCTACCAAATTGTAGATTTAGTGATGAGCAGAGACACCAAAATAGCCCATGAATCTGAACTTTGCACCCCAGAAAAAGCCTTCATAGGCAGTGATAACAACATGGTAACATTCCAGTTTGATCCTAGTTAAATAAATGTGAGTTTTAAGTTGCATAACGCTAAAGAAACTGGATCGAATATGACAGGTCTACTGGTCCTGTACGACACGGATTTGAATCAATAACTAGAGTGAAATGCGACAAAAGATGATGCAAACTACGAGGTAAAACTATTTGGGGGACGCTTCCGAAAAAAATTCCCAGGGAATCGCACTTGGACTGGACTGGATAGGCCTTCAAAACCTTGATTTGACTGATGGAAGACACTGCAAAATAAATACTGATGGACTAGTGTGACATTCTGCGGGACTCCCCTGGAGCACGTCAATCATACATCACCATCTTTCTTCTTCCTTCGTTTAACTTCAAAAGTACTGACGTTGCCGACCATATGGACGAACTAAGCTGCCCTCGCACAACACCGCCAAGAAGAAGCCTGGGCGGTAGTTAAGCTGCAGACTGCTGCTAGTAGTCGGGTATACGGTCTCCAATGTCTGGTTTCTTGGGTCATAGTACCCCAGCGCTCTTCCAGTGTCGAGTAAGATCCGTCCGGCATCGTCAACAGCCAACGGAATCACGAGCCTCGCTTCTGTTCTCAGTGAGAAGTCTGGCCACTGTCCGAGCTGTATCCAGTGCTCTCTTGTCCATCCTCGGCTATCATTAAGTGTACCTGGCTCCTGCTTGTGCCATATGGTCATCGTCTCTGTATTTGGGCAAATGTGCACAACACGAACCTGCCCGGTGAGCTCCGCCACGAGCATCCTACCACTGTCGCCCATGGTGAGTGGTGCTGGTAGGACATCGAAAGACTCTCTGCAGATGTCAAACACAAGAATTGATGAGCAGCCCGCACTGAATCGTGACTCCCCCATCCAGTACATCTTGCCCCCTGCATAGACCGGTGGCACATCGACGGTCACCGGGATCGGTGGCGAAGGAGCCACCTTCTTCGTCATGCAATCCGTTAGCCTCCGGATGCTGCACTCCATGCTGTAGCTCCCAGTGTCAAAGTTGCGCGATTTATAGGCAAGAACAATGATGATATGCTCCTCCCTCAATAGGTCGTACCCCAAGCCAACGCAACCGGGGTGTGCAGCAGCAGCGTCTGATGGCTGCTTAAAAGGCAAACTGTGGAAAACCTGTGCTCCAGTGACAGGGTTGCACACGTGAACACCATAGCTGTTGTGGGCTATGAGGAGGAGGCCATGGCAGGGCTTCGAGCTCACCACCCTCCGATGTAGCTGCTGCATTTGGCATGCTAGTTTCAGGTCGTTCAGGCAAGAATCCAGTGAGGCAAACTGCCAGTCATAAGGCATGGAGGAGAGGACAACACGGGCAAGGGTGCTCCTGCCTGTGTGCTCGTAGTGCAGCCTGATGAAGCGGCCAGACTCGATGATGGCCCGCCAGGTCCGACATACGCACTTGAGCCGCCCAAGGATGCGGGCTGGTAGCCGACGCAGCACCTGCGCCAGAACCTGCGAGGACGTGGACGAGAAGATGATGTCCTCATGCGGCCGCCCGGTAGACTCAAGGCTTTCCTCATACGGTGCCGCGGGCCTCCGCATCATGGTGTGATGAGTAATCATGCTGCCATCAGCGAGAAGGTCCTCGACATCTCCGGTCGCAGGGTCATACACAACAAGTTGATGGGCACCCAAATTTTCCCTCCGGATATTGCAAGGCTCTGGCCTGAGCAGCACGCGGTTGCCATCATCAACGATGTCGAGCGGGATGACGCTCGTGGAGCATCTCAGTTGTGTTGCTGCTGGAGACACCGCGTCCAGGTTGATGCGGCAATGTAGGTCCCAAGCGCCCGTCAGGGGGTCTCGCAGAATCCAGATATCATATGAGCACACAGCGGAGATGTCTTTGAAGAGGCAGAGGCGCCCGCCGAGCTCTGTTATCCGCCAGTGCGTCGTGTCCATGTCTGGTGGCCGCAAAATCCCGAACACCTCATCGGCCATCGAGAATGACATGACGACCCTTTCGCCGGTGTAATTCTTGTGCGGCTGGGCGGCCCAGTACACGTGGCCCTGCGCAAAGACGCTCTGGTCGGTGCAGTAATTGGTTGCCCAGGCCGGCAGCATCGTCCTGTCGGCACCGGACGGCGGCCGCCAGTACCCTGTGGAGTCGAGCACGTATACCTCGCACGCCGGAGGGAGCTCACCGCGGCAGTAGAGGCGCACCACCTTGTGCTTCCGGATGCTTGGGTCGTAGCCGAGCCCGAGGATGGCATGGTTCTGCGGCCAGACGCCGGACGCCTCCTTGCCCTCCGGGAGCGCCGTCACCTGGCCGGTGGACGGGTTGTAGACGTAGTGGTCCACCGTGTAGCTGCAGTGCCCGCGGGCCGGGTTGCAGGCCAAGGGCAGGTTCTCCCCTTTGGCCTCCAGCACGACGAGGCCGCGGCACTGGCGGGTGACGGCGGCGACGCGGCGGAGGCGCTCGTCTCGGCGGACGGCGACGAGGGGGCGGCGGGGCGACCACGCGTGCACCGTGGTGTCGTCGCCCGAGTCGGGGTCTGGGAGGAAGAAGAGGCTGCGGGAGCCGTCCCGGCGGTTGGCGAGGCGGAGGTGGCGGTCGACGAAGGCGCTGGAGGAGAGCGCGGCAGCCCAGGCGCGGGAGAGGCAGCGGCAGCGCTGCACCGACTTGGCCGGCATCCGCGCGAAGATGTCCTCCAGCAGCTCGTCCGGGACGCGGGAGCCCGATTCCGCCGCCTGCTTGCACGGAGGATCCATGGGCGCGGCGCCGGCGGGGGAGCCGGAGGTCGGAGACCCTGGCTCGGCGGAGTGACGGGGAGAATGGCGGCGGCGGCGGCGGCAGCGGCGGCGTGATCTACTCTGTTCCGTGGAGTGAAGGAGAGAGGAGGTGCGTCGGCCCACTTGCTGGGCTTATGCGGACTTATGTTAAGTTGTTGGGCCGATCAGAATCAAAGCCTGAGACATGTAACAGGCTGAGGCAGAACGGGCATCTTCGTGTAACATTAGTATCTGTCCCTTCACCTTTTGGAGCATGCTAGCCCTCAAAAGAAAAAAGACATTTTGGAGCAAAGTCCAGGGGTGGATCGAGAGCACAATGTCAACCGCAGGGAAGGAGGTACCGGTTAAATTGGTAGCTATCTTGGAAGGCCATGACTCAGCCGAAAGGAATGGGAGGATTGGGTCTTAAGGACTTTGAACTTTTCAATCTTGCAATGCTAGCTCGACAGTCCTGACGCCTTACTTCAAAACCCAGATACATTGAGTGCACGAATCCTCAAAAGTATCTACTTCCCAACCACCACCATACTGCATGCCACCCTCGGAGGGCATCCAAGCCAAGTCTGGAGAGCGATTGTTGAAGGTAGAGACACACTCACACTAATAGAAAAGGGGGCATTTGTCTCGGTTCGTAAGGACCTTTAGTCCCGGTTCATGAACCGGGACTAATGGGTCGTTACTAATACATCCCCCCTTTAGTCCCGGTTCTAACACGAACTGGGACAGATGGTCCTCCACGTGGCCGGTGCGCCGAGCTCGGGCAGGGGGGCCTTTGGTCCCGGTTGGTGGCACCAACCGGGACCAAAAGGCCTCCACGCGTCAGCATTCCAGTGGCTGGGTTTTTTGTTTTTTTTAAAAGGTGGGGGGGTTGGGGGTTTTGGAAGGTTAATTCAGGTGTTTCATATATTGTGTTAGCTAGCTAATTAATAGAGAGAAGTGTCCTCTCTTATGTCTGTGCTTGGTCGACGCTACGTACTATACATAGAGAGGCCCTCTACACGCTAGCTAGTAAGAAAATGAAGGAAACCATTAAGTACAGAAGTCCGTCATGCATACCGAGAGAAGTGATCGATCGACCTCTCCTTCTCCGAGAGATTGGTCGAACAACAAGTTTTCGTATTATCTATCCGACGCTACTGGCTACGTACATACATATACAATATGTAAGATCTCTTAATTACAATCCCCTAGCAATTGAAATCAACTTCCACATGGTATTCTCCGGCTTTATTGATGACGTGGTCAAGAAAGAATCCCGCCAATTCCTCTTGAATTGCTTTCATGCGATCTGGTTCTAGGAGTTCATTCCGCATCTGCCACGTCTAATTTGAAGAAGGGGGTTAATTAATACATATATATGAATAAAACTCAACAGAAATGATGGTGTAATAAAATAAAATTGCGAATATTATTGCTTACGCACTTCATATTGTCTTTTAGAGTAGCCCCGATTATTTTTCAAAGTCGCGTTGTGGATGAACTCGCACACGTAGTATCCATAGGATCATTCCCTTGTTCCTGCCACAAGCACTTTACGAGAAATAGAGGTCAATCAAACTGATAATGAAGCATTATAAATGGCATTGATGAAAGTATAGCTATAGAATCAACGGGAGATGCGCGCAACTAGCTAGCCAGTAGTACTTACTTTCGGGTATGTATATCGCTGCTCCTTCAGCAGTCTCGGAGTTTCTGCGGTGAAATGTTTCCAAACCCTGCAAGACAAAGAAAATAATTATTATTACTTGAGTTATCAGGAAATGAACAAAAAGTTGCCGATATGGTGCGATAATGATCGATTGAACTTACTTGTTGAGCAATTCAGTCATTTCTGCTCAAGCTTAATCTCCAGAAGAATATAGTGGAAGCTGTGCACGCATGCATAACTCATCAATTACATTACTATAACCTCGCTCGAGTAATAAGGGAAACCGAATATGCACACGACAGTAACTCACGCGAAGTTGTAAGGAAAGAGTATGGTATCTTTGTTTTGATTTTTGATCAACGATTGTAGCAAGTTGTCCTCGGCCTCTTTGGCGTGCCTTTTAACCAGACATTCATCTATGATATTTGTGTTAATGAACCCAATATCATAAATTTCTTGTTTTTTGCACTCGACGATCTTCAATCTGCATAATATATTGAGGATAATTAATTATAAATACATGCAATGAAAGAGTCGAGCTATATATAGAGACTTAATGACAGAAATAGTACTTACAGGCAGTAGCAAAAGACCGTTAATTTATCGAGGGCCTTTTGATTGAAGAACGCGAAGAACTCCTCAAATGGAACACACAACAGATCAGTTGCAACGAGGTCGTGCTCCTTTTTAATGTTCAGATACAAACTATTCGTCCCCCAGACTCTCTGCAGGTTTTCATGTACCAATTATGGAATCTTCGCATCATCGTTGTTAGAGATTTTCCATCTTTGACGAGAGGCTTCCTGTACTCGTATTTGTGTTCGTCCACCTCCATGAAATCAGGAAGTTGATCATCAGGCAGGTAATCTTGTAGATTGCCATAACCGACCACCATCCCCGGAGCATTAGCGACGATGTTGCCGCTAGACACATTGAGCGGGGGGCACGATTGGTTTGCTTGTTCGCCGAGCTGGTCAATTTTTTTCGCAGCTGCTCGTTCTCTTGACCTTTGATGTCTGACAGTACTTCCCGACCGCTCTGCTTGGAGATATGTCTGTTCAGTAATGCGCTCATAGTTGGTTCTCGGCGGAGACTTTGCCGGTTTCCTCAGGGCATCGAGAGTGCGCTTTGCTTTCACCGGATCTACCTTCTCCTCCGGAGGTGGATGTCTCTTTGCTTTCACCCCTTCAAAGAACTCCTTCACGTGGGTCCACATGATCGTCGTGTTTTCCTTCTTGGTCCTCTCGTACGGTAACTTCTCTAGAGGCTTGAGAGGTGGACCGTATCTGTATTGCCTCCCGCCTCTGGTTGTGCTGCTAGATGCCGGAGCAGACGGAGCGGCTGTGGCGTCTGTCTTCTTTCGTGCTTGCTTACGAGGCGGGGGAGAAGAACTACGATGCACCGGAGCAGCCGGGGCGGCGGCGGGTCTCTTCCGCCCTTGCTGGCGAGGCAGAGAAGGAGGAGGCTGGTGGCTGCTCGGGCACGCTGGCGCAGGAGGAGAAGGAGGCGGAGTGCCGCCACGCGCCGGAGAAGGAGGCGGAGTGCCGCCACACGCCGAAGAAGGAGGCCCAGTGCCCTGATCGTCACTCGCCGGAGGAGGAGGCGGTGGAGGAGGCGGAGTGCCCTGACTCGCCGGAGGAGGAGGAGGAGGCGGTGGAGGAGGCGGAGTGCCCTGACTCGCCGAAGGAGGAGGACACTAGTAGAAAAGGGGCCAATGGTCCAGGCCGGTCCAGCCCATTAGTCCCGGTTCAATCCAGAACTGGGACCAATGGGGGCATTGGACCTGGTTCGTGAGCCCCAGGGGCCGGCCGGGCCACGTGGGCCATTGGTCCCGGTTCGTCTGGACCTATTGGTCCCGGTTGGTGGGACGAACCGGGACCAATGGCCTTCGCTCCTGGCCCACCACCATTGGTCCCGTTTGGTGGCCTGAACCGGGACCAAAGGATGACCATTAGTCCCGGTCCATTCCACCAACCGGGACTAAAGGATTGGTCCTCGTTGCGGCCAAAGTTTAGTCCCACCTCGCCAACCGAAGGGGAATCAGACCGGTTTATAAGCCCCTCCCTCTATGCCTTATTGAGCTCCTCTGAAAATGAAAATAGATGCCCTTATATAGGGAATTTAGCCTAAATTCATACGAATTTCTCTTGAAATTTGTTATGAATTTAATTTGAATTTCCTCTATAAGCGCATCTATGCTCATTTCTGAGTAGCTTTTTATATAGTTTTTTTCTTTTCTGCTATATTTATTTTTTTCTTTTTATTTCTGAGTTGTAATAAGTCATTAAAAATAAGCATCTATGCTCATTTTTTAGTAAAGTTAATCATAACTATTTTTTCTTCTATTTACTTTTGAATTGTAATAAGTCATTAAAAATAAGCATCTATGCTCATATTTTAGTAAAGTTAATCACAACTATTTTTTCTTCTTTTTATTTCTGAGTTGTAATAAGTCATTAAAAATAAGCATCTATGCTCCTTTTTTAGTACAGTTAATCACAACTATTTTTTGCTTCAATTCATTTCCGAGTAGTTTTCTATATAGTTTTTTTCTTTTCTGCTATATTTATCTTTTTCTTTTTATTTCTGAGTTGTAATAAGTCATTAAAAATAAGCATCTATGCTCATTTTTTAGTAAAGTTAATCATAACTATTTTTTCTTCTATTTATTTTTGAATTGTAATAAGTCATTAAAAATAAGCATCTATGCTCATATTTTAGTAAAGTTAATCACAACTATTTTTTCTTCTTTTTATTTCTGAATTGTAATAAGTCATTAAAAATAAGCATCTATGCTCCTTTTTTAGTACAGTTAATCACAACCAGTAGGATAAACAGAGCCAACAGCCGCCTTGACCTCCAAATTCATCCATCGCGTCATAATGTGGCAATTTTGAGACTCCGTGATAGCATCCACGGAATAGCTGGCAGGAGCCGTCAAGACATGCTCGGGCTGAAATAGCTCGGTGGAAGCCACGCTGCTTCTCCGCTGAGATGGTGGGGTAGCTTCCTCCTCTCGTGGGTTTTATAACCCCCTGCGTCCGGAAAACCAACCTTCCACGGAATGGAGCCTGGCGTGCCTCGTGTCCGTCCAGGGTGCTCAGGATTCCCGAGGGCCATTGTGAGTTCGTCCTTCTCCCTGTCTAGAACGAACGCCCCTCGCTGCGCTGCATTGATATAGTGCCAAAGCTTCTTGACTGGTATTTTTAGTTGCTCGTCCGTCCAACGGCACTTCCCTGATACAGGGTCCAAGGTTCCGCCAGCCCCGAAGAACCAAGTCCGGCAACGATCTGGCCAGTTCATTGTCTCTGGTTCGATTTCTTTTTCAAGC